CTTGCTAAGTGCGTGGATGCAATATATCAGCCGCGGCATATTCCTCTTGTCATATATGTCTGTCGTTTCTGGCAGAAATGTCTATAAAAATGAAAATTTTACACAATAAGATGCATGAGGCTCTGACGTGAGATTACAATTCCAAGGAATAAAGGATGTTAGTGTATAAATGATTTTAATTTTTTAATTTGTTGCGAAAAATTTATCTTTGGCGTTTCACCAATGCCTCGGTGGTCGAACTGATGAGACTCGCACCTAGTGAGAGGAAGGTCCAGGTTCAAACTCTGGCTGAGGTAATTTTTCCGCAATGAAGTTAAAAATGAAAATCATTTGGACACTAAAACAGCCTGTCTTGGCTCTTACATCCTTTATTCCTTCGATTTGAAAATTCTACGTCGTCTTATTTCTGTTGCACCTGATACACTCCGTCGTTTCATCAAAAGTGATTTGCACGTACCAACGGTAAACGCTCGGATTCCAAGCACTTTAAAAAGTAATTTATGTTATCCATATGACGAAACTGCAATCCGACAGCTTTGTATCTGCGCTGCTCGGTATCGTAGATTTTGTTCAACGGTAAAACGTTAGGTGCCATGAAGTTTCCGAGCTTGGCCAAATACACTCCGTTGCGAAGATTCTCCTCCAGCTCAATCGACGGAGGTAACGGCTCTCTCAGGCAGGCTTCCATCCATCTATAGAAGAGAACAGACACTAATATCCTTTTTTATCTTAACAAATACAAGTCCTTTCAGTCAAACCAAGATAAATAACAGACAAATGTAATCAATAAGTAAGAAACGACTCGACATAATGGATTGTCTATCAATTATATTTTACTTCTTGGCTTGCTCCAAGTGACAAAGATAGTGATACGACAGATCTCTTCTGCGTTCCTCGTCCATATCCTCCGCAGATGTCCTCATGTCCTCTAAAATGCATTTATATACAACTTTAAATACTCAGCAGTTCGTATTCAGTGTGCAGAGTATACAAATGTACATCTACATATAACCCGAGCAGCACATATTGGTTGGCCATCAGTTGGGTTTTAATCGAAAGCATCGGCAGTTGGGGAAATAATGTTGGGCCGACATTATTAAAATGTTACGATTCGATGAATCCTTAGACAGATTTATTTTTTTTATTTATTTGATATAAATTAAAAGGCATTGTTTTTCTTTGTAAATTTTAATTGTTTTGAAATAGCCTGCAGTATTTTTAACTATTTAAGTGTATGTATTATTAAGCTATTGACGACGCAAAACCAACCATTTGTTGAACAACGTTTAACTGATG